CAATATTCTCACAACAACAACAACCACAACAACAACAACCACAGATATCCTCACAGCAACATGACTCTTACAAAAACCAACAAAACAGCCAAAACTCGCAAAAATTTCACGACACAAACTCGAAATCTGTAACATCGCGGGGAGACCTCGACATATTCGCGGTTTATCTACGCTCTCTTTACCAGAGTACAATGGTCCTGACAACTGTTGGTAACCTACCAGAGCCCAACACAAAATTCGGATTCGCTTTTGCCATATTTGAGTTCGTCTTCGCGCTATTGCTGTTCGCCACAATTCTAGGTCACGTGGCAAACATAGTGACCAGTATCAGTGCCGCTAGGAAGGAGTTTCAAGGTGAGAATGGTTCATCACCAACCAATCAATTTTAAGTAATTAATCATGTTGCAGATAAAAAAGATCACCAACTGATGACAACTTACCTTACAAACCAACCAACCAATCACAAAGATCATCAACTGATGACAACTTACCTTACAAACCAACCAACCAATCACAAAGATCATCAACTGATGACAACTTACCTTACAAACCAACCAACCAATCACAAAGATCACCAACTGATCACAACTTTCTTTACAAACCTACCAATCAATCACAAAGATCACCAACTGATCTAAACTAGCCTTACAAACCAGCCAACCAATCACAATCATGCCAACAAGTCATCAAACCAATCACAATCAAGTCCACAAACTAACCAACCAATCGCAACCTTTTGAAGTAAACTCATAAGAAGCGCTATACAAATTTTGATACAATACAATACAATACAATCTAACTTACAGACTATCCAACCAATCACAAATCAGCCCCCGACCCAGCCAACCAACCAATTAATCAATCATTACGTCACATCCCATATAATTTATCTTTTGCTTTCAGCATTGTTCGTGAAGTTGTTGTTAATGTTATTGTTGTTTTTAATAATAATTATAATAATAATAATAAAATTATATAATAATAATAATTATTATTAAATTATAAATTTCATAATTCCCAATAACTCAAGTTTCTGGAATATGGCGCCCATAAATATTAATAATAATAACACAATTAAATACGTAATATCTTCGTCCGTGTCAAGTGTTATGTAAACATACGTACATACAAGCATACAAACATACATACAAACATACATACAAACATACATACAAACATACATACAAACATACATACCAACATACATACATACAAGCATATGTACATAAAAATATACAAGCATAC